CAATCTGTCTAAATAACTAACTATGAAAACGCTTCACACACACACTATAGACACGTTGGAAAGCCTGAAACTATGTTGTTTACCTTTTTAAAAATGTGTGCAATAACTATCTATGCCATATGTCTGTTTAAACTATGTTATCCACCCTTCTTGTTACTGCTGTTGTGGCATTGCAAGAGCATGTACTCTCTGAAATGCACCACCAAAATAAAGAATTTAAAAAAAAAAAAGACATAAATTTACATACAGTCACATTTATTACATAAAACATATACATTCTACATATCCCCAGATAGCCTAGATCTGAGCGCACATTACTACCGAATGGCGCTCAGATCACATACATACAGTTCAATCGCCATGGAGCCAAAGTCTTTCCCATAGTCTTTGTTACACGAATAGGCTCCATGGCTTAGCTATCTGGGGGATGCTGTTCATCCAGCGAAACTACCAAATAAACAGTCATTCGGTTCTGCTACCGAATGGGAAGGTAAGGAGGCTGGCGGCTCAGCCAACACCGCGCTGAACACCGCTGGCCGTTCGGGAGGTAAAATGGCCACTGCCACGTGTTCGGCAGACGAACAAAGGCCACCCAGCGTTCATCAATTAAGCTGCGGTTAACCGCAGCTTCTGGGCGGTCAATTGACGGCACACTCCAGTTCACAGCTGGTCCATCGTTCGGTAGTTTGTTCGGTAGATGGAATCTACCGAACACCCTGGCAGAAAGGCACGAATAAACCTTTCAGCAGGGAAAATAACAGCTCTGAACTGCAGGGCCATAGTCTAAAGGGAGCAGGTGAGCAACCAGGCTTATCCAGTGTACAGTGGCAAGGTTGGTTCCGCCACACACACATTTAGAGAAAAAAGAGACACACTCTCACTAACACACACACACTCATTGATATACACAGTGTCACTTACACACTCTTACTAACATACACACAGTGTCACTTGCACACTCTAACACACCCACTGTCACTTGCACACTCTCACTAACACACAGTGTCACTTACACACTTTCATTAACACACACAGTGTCACTTGCACACTCTCACTAACACACAGTGTCATTTACACTCTCACTAACACACACACACCATGTCACTTGCACACTCTCACTAACACGCACACAGAATCCCTTACACCCTTTCACTAACACACACTGTGTCACTTGCACACTCTCACTAACACGCACACAGAGTCCCTTACACCCTGTCACTAACACACACAATGTCACTTAAACACTCACTAGCACACACACAGTGTCACTTACACACTCTCACTAACACACATTGTCACTTGCACACTCTCACTAACACACACAGTGTCCCTTATACACTCTCACTAACACACAGTGTCAATTACACACTCTCACTAACACACTTGCACACTGTCACTAACATACACACTGTTACTCAAACACAAACTCACACAACTTTATATAAAGTCATACTTTATTTGCACACAGAAATACAGCAATTTAACACACACACACACACACACACACAGTCAGGTCCATAAATATTGGGACATTGACACAATTCTAATCTTTTTGGCTCTATACAACACCACAATGGGTTTAAAATGAAAAAAAACAAGATGTGCTTTAACTGCAGACTTTCAGCTTTAATTTGAGGGTATTTACATCCGAATCAGGGGAACGGTGTAGGAATTACAACAGTTTGTATATGTGCCTCACACTTTTTAAGGGACCAAAAGTAATGGGACAGATTAAGTCATAATTCTAACTTTCACTTTTCAATACATGGTTGCAAATCCTTTGCAGTCAATTACAGCCTGAAGTCTGGAACGCATAGACATCATCAGACGTTGGGTTTCATCCCTGGTGATGCTTTGCCAGGCCTCTACTGTAACTGTCTTCAGTTCCTGCTTGTTCTTGGGGCATTTTCCCTTCAGTTTTGTCTTCATCAAGTGAAATGCATGCTCAATCGGATTCAGGTCAGGTGATTGACTTGGCCATTGCATAACATTCCAATTCTTTCCCTTAAAAACTCTTTGGTTGCTTTTGCAGTATGCTTTGGGTCATTGTCCATCTGCACTGTGAAGCCCCGTCCAATGAGTTCTGAAGCATTTGGCTGAATATGAGCAGATAATATTGCCCGAAACACTTCAGAATTCATCCTGCTACTTATGTCAGCAGTCACATCATCAATAAATACAAGAGAACCAGTTCCATTGGCAGCCATACATGCCCACACCATGACACTACCACTTATGCTTCACTGATGAGGTGGTATGCTTTGGATCATGAGCAGTTCCTTTCCTTCTCCATACTCTTCTCTTCCCATCACTCTGGTACAAGTTGATCTTGGTCTCATCTGTCCATAGGATGTTTTTCCAGAACTGTGAAGGCTTTTTTAAATGTTGTTTAGCAAACTCTAATCTGGCCTTCCTGTTTTTGAGGCTCACCAATGGTTTACATCTTGTGGTGAACCCTCTGTATTCACTCTGGTGAAGTCTTCTCTTGATTGTTGACTTTGACACATATACACCTACCTCCTGGATAGTGTTCTTGATGGCCAACTGTTGTGAAGGGTGTTTTCTTCACCGGGGAAAGAATTCTTCGGTCATCCACCACAGTTGTTTTCCGTGGTCTTCCGGGTCTTTTGGCGTGGCTGAGCTCACCGGTGCGTTCTTTTTAAGGATGTTCCAAACAGTTGATTTGGTCACACCTAATGTTTTTGCTATCTCTGATGGGTTTGTTTTGTTTTTTCAGCCTAATGATGGCTTGCTTCCCTGATAGTGACAGCTCTTTGGATCTCATATTGAGAGTTGACAGCAACAGATTCCAAATGCAAATAGCACACTTGAAATTAACTCTGGACCTTTTATCTGCTCCTTGTAAATAGGATAATGAGGGAATAACACACACCTGGCCATGGAACAGCTGAGCAGCCAATTGTCCCATTACTTTTGTTCCATTGAAAAGTGGGAGGCACATATACAAACTGTTGTAATTCCTACACCGTTCACCTGATTTGTATGCAAATACCCTCAAATTAAAACTGAAAGTCTGCAGTTAAAGCACATCTTGTTCATTTCAAATCCATTGCGGTGGTGTATAGAACTAAGAAGATTAGAATTGTGTTGATGTCCCAATATTTATGGACCTGACTGTATTTACAACCTGTAACGGTCTGAGTAGGTTTAACTGTCTTGCATACCCTTTATCCATAAAATAATACGCCAATAATCCACAGGTTCCAATATTGCTGGTATCGCATAATGACCCACACATGAGCCAAAGCTTAATGCTGGGACAAGACTGGGTTAATGGAAACACAGGCATTCAATTTACAGAGTGCATAACTCCTCCTCTGAGCCAACGAGATAATTGAGTTTAGAGAACATACTAAACTCAGTTATCCTCTGGTCAGAAAAAGTAACATTTTCCACAATTTCTTGAAATACCCCAAAAATACATCAGAACCCCACAAAAGTAGTTGCATGGGTCACAAATGTCACTTCTGGTGAACAGAGGATGACATGCCAGAAGTGACAAATAAAATCCATGAAAAACACAAGATAAATGAGGAATTGGCCATAGTGGATAAGACAACACTGCCTGCCAGACCACCAATAGGACTGGGGAATAGCCCCTATTTACAGATAAACTTGGGAAGGGGTAGGTATGCTGCTTTGTCCCCTATGATGGAAGTTTGGCAATTTTATTCATGTTTTTATATTTGTTTATTTTTAGGTTTGGGTTTCTAAAGAAGTCTTGGATGTGATAAACCTTACAGGACCCGTTTGCTTTTATTTTTACAATTTTTTTTGTTTATTGTTATATGTATTGCATTAAAAAAAAAAAAATAAAGCAGAGTCAGAATACTACCCTGAGTCCTGGAGATGATCTTTGGCGGGGAGTCCACAACCAGGAGCATAAAGTCACATTGAATAGTCCTGTCAAATATATAAGGGGAGGTACCCAGAGGCAACATTAACAGCAAACCTGTGAGTGCCACTCCGTTTACACAATACACAGCTTTAGCATGAATATAAGGAGCTTCAGATGCAAGACAGATGTCGTGCCACTGATGCAAAGGAGATGGGCTAGGTGGATAAGCAGGGCATAACCACAAATTCAAAGAAAAAAAACCAAAACAAAAAACCTGGGACTAAAAACTAACATTCACAAAGAAGGAGCCAGATCAGGCTCCATATATTTTCTCAAGGCTATATAAATACACCTGTACTTTCTGCCTGAAAAAGTCAGACTGATTTACCCATCAATTTTTGGGTGATGCTTGGGATACTAGAGATATCACACATTCACTCTGCAGGATTAAGGGCTCCTCAGTGGATAGACTCAGCAAGAGTATAGGGGGATCCGTTATGAGGACTATATAAAAGCAGGTCTCAGAGTTGTATACAATACAATACCGCATGCAGATAAATGGTCCTTTCAATTGGCCAAATGTGTTTTGACTATTCAAGCCTTACTCTTGTCAAATATCCTTTTTAGATTAATTGATGCACTTTACAGTCCTAACTGGTGACTAGAGTTTAATGCAGTTCAGATACCAACTACACCACTGCATGACGTGACCTCATCAGGTTTAAAATGCTACTTCCCTTGACATGCCATTGATTGACTCACTCAATTCCCTGGGCAGAGTTTACCTGCAAAAATACAACCCCTACTGCATTATACAATAGTAATGGAATGCCAGTTGCCAAGTCATTTGGCTGACATCTAGGCTACTAGCCAGGATTGTTATAGTGTGGAGCCACACATACCACTAATGTCCATAGATTTAGGGATGTTACAGTAAGGATAAGGAAAGATACCAAGAATTGAGACCACCACCTGTGGTATTGTAAACAGATCCACAGACATTGGAACAAGTGATTGTAATTTGTTTTTATTTTAAACCAAGGCAGAACATTGAATTGCTGTAGTTTATACAACAAGAGGCATTCTGTAGGGTTTGATTTGTCTGTGCAAGACCGTATTCCATACAGAGGATCAGTCCATCTCATGGTTTGTAGTCTTCCTGGGTGACCATCAAGTTATAGTGACTGATCCCTTTCCACATTCCCTGTATCATGGTCTCATAGCCAAACAAGGTGCGGATCTTGGCACGGAACGGTACATCCATTTCTCCCTTGGTCACAGATGCGACCATACGTATTGAATGCCCTCCTGGTACCTCCACATCTGTGCTGGATGAGAAGGTTGTCTGCAGAAGAAGTCAGATGGTTAGATACTGGCAGGAGCAATATTTCATCATGAATAGTCAAGAACATGTTACCTGTACAGAATACCCATTTATTGCACAAATTAACTGGTTGAGAGAAGGGTCAAAAAGCATGATACAGCTTTAGGCTATTTCTATTGTTTGACCTCTTGTAAGTAAAGGTTGGGCAATAGTGTACAGACTGGCCAGTAAGGCTTAAGCTCTGTTCTTGTTAAATGGGTGGCTTGTTACAGCTGCTCCAATATAACAAAGGATATCTGTGGCTGTGAGTGTAGATGTGCAAAGGTTAATATATGGTGCTAGTGTGCTACCATAGCTTTCAATGTTGGAGTAAAAATAAAATAGGACTGTTTTGGGACGCAGCCCTTTCTCAATTTACAAACAGTCCCTTTTGTCCGAGATGAGAGTCAAGGAAACCATAACTTGTATTAGGTATTAGCTAGTGAGTGACATGTAGAGCCAGGACACATTCCATGCCTGTTGCTTCCCCTCCAATAACCCAAAGCATGTTCTAAACAAACTATACCATATCTGAACATACATATTGATACCATTATTTAATCCACCCTTACCTGGATTTCATTGGTCTTGGCAAAATTCCAGGTATGAGTTGTGCTCACATTGATGGAAATCTTGGTCTCCATTTCTCCTATGAATGGGACTCCAGCTTTGAAGGACATCTCTGCACCAACAGCCACTGTGAATCCATGTTCCTGGCTGAAAGTGCTGCTCTCAGTTATGGTCTTGGAGAAGCTAAAAAGACAAACCCTTCACATTAATATATTGAGAGAGAATGAGAATAGCCTGGGACAATCCAGAAAGGATTTGACCACCCTTTCCTAGGGGCACACCAGATTATATCAGTGTCTCCTTCAAAAAGGAGAATTGGAAAATTATGCCTCCAACTCTTTATTGGGGGGGCGGGGGGGAGGGCAAGCCTGAAGGATCCATGGAACACTGAGGGTGAATTTCTGCTTGCCACAGCTGAAGCGGTCACTCGCCAGTGGCAAGTTGAAATTGGGATCCCTGAGTGGATGAGATTGAGGTTTCCATTACTTACGAGAAGGTGTGCTTTAATGGAGTGCTGCTCTTGTTGTTATAGATCTGGGTCTGCACCACCTCTGTGCCTTGGGATAGGATTTTCCCTGAATCTGGCAGGAATTCAAAGCTCACAATACTCTGGATGGTTTTATCAATGGTGAAGGAAAGGAGGGGGTAGACATTGTAACCCCAGCCCAGTTTCTCTGCCTTTTCAATGTAGTTGGTATCAGCCTTGGTCGGTGCTGGTCCTTTATAGATGTTGCCATTCTTTGAATCCACACACCACAGGTCTGACTCTAGGGTGAAAGCCATGAAATGGGTCAGAATGCGCCAGCCTCCTTTTCCAATGGTTGTGCTGGAGGCAAGCCAGTTATCGTCTGGTTTGGTTGGAGGGCTTCTCATCACAAGCTTGTCGTCACTGGTCACTGCATACAGGATGCCTTTAGGGTCAAAGAAAAGGGCATCAAATTCATGCCAGCCACTGGTTCCTATTTTGGTGGCTTGGCCATAAAGCCAGGACACGTTTTCATTGCTTGGTGCTGGACCCTTGTAGAACTCCCCATTCTTGGTAGATGCATACAGAAGGCCATTTGGATCAAAGAAGATTAATTTAAACCCTTCCCAGTCAGTTTTGCCCACTCTCTTGGCAGTAGAGAAAAAGTCAAGGTTTGGATCTGAAGGCATAGCTCCCATGAAGAGTTCTTTACCACGCACAGCAAACAGCACCCCTTCTGGGTTAAAGGCAATCTTACTGACATTATTCAGTTTCCCTACAATGCTAGATCTGGCATCAAAGTTATCCAGAAGATTCTTGGGTGGTAATCCAGCTCTGGCAACATAATCCTTCACAGCAAACAGGAGGGTATCTGGAAGTCAATAGGAAGAGGTTATAGCCACTATTGGTAGTCCACAACACAATATGAAAGTGCAACTGCAAGGGATTTAAGTCATATGCCTAGATATTGAAGGTTTAAATTGGATTTAAGACGGTTCAATAAGACCCCAGCAGCACAGGAAACAACCCTTCCAGAACCCAGAGCTCCAGACAGGAGCCATTTCTTTTGGTCTACATTACAGGGTTCTTTTTATCTGCAAAGATTTCAAATGGACCAAGAAGGACACGTGTTTTAGAGGTGTCAGTGTAGCCAGGAGCTGGCCTGTTGCAAGACGTTTTAGGAGACTTCCTAACAATTTAGGCAGTGTAGGGACATTTGGGAGGTATGCAATATTAAGGTTCTGTCCCACTGTCCTGGGTTTTTAAAGTGTGCTACCCTACCAGCAGCATTATGCACAATTTTAAATGTATATAGCCAAACAGGAAAGTGTGTCACCAGGTCAGCTGAGGTTAAATTTTGAATTAGACATTTTTAATCCAGAGAGTTTATTTAAAGGAACACTAGTGTAAGATATAGAAACATGGATTACTGATTCTAATGCTTGGTTAGGTTTTAAATCCAGGTGTTTGGGTACTAGAGTAACACCTCTATCACCATGCAGAGTGTTGAGACTGAGGGTAGACACAGAAAGCACCTCTAGTGGCCATTTGAATGTCTGCACCTAGAGGTGGTACTAGAGAGTAAAAGAGAAATACATTGTATTTACATTGCAAAGCCTGTATGTTTCATCACCAGAACTACTGCCTTAAGTGGTAGTGATTCTGGTGACTATAGTGTCCCTTTTAAGATCACAGATGAGTTCTGTCAAACAGTAACAGTCAGTGAGGAACTTCTAAGACCATCACAGAATTAATCAGCTATAAAGTGAGATACTCCCTACTAATGCTCAGTATATAAAGCCCTGCAGAGTGAGCTTCCAAAACACAAGGATCACTTACCTGGTGTATCCATTATCAGAGAAAGATCAGAAAACAAACTCTCAGCAGGGAACCTTTTGGGATCTCTGACTTGTGTGGATCAAGAAAGGGCTCCAGATACATCTGTATCATTAGTGATTAGCTTTATAGTCAGGACCCCTCCCCACACACAGCTGTACCTGGTTTAATGAGCAGGGTTATCAGACTTTGAACAATATGATACTAAGTTTACAGGTAGGTCACCACAATATTGCATTATACTGCTCTGGAAACAATGGGGGAGATGTATAAAAAGTTGTGCATTATTTATTTTCTTGACACGTTTGTGGTTTATTTGCCATTTTGGGGCATTAAAGACAAGACTGACAATAATCTTGTATGTATAAAGTTGGAGTAACAGTTTTATACATGAGAAAATGGAACGTTCACACAAAACAGGCAGAAAAGTTAATCAATGTGACAGTTTTTATATAAAACCTACATAGAATTGTAGTAAATTAAAAACTGAATTATAAAATTTAGGGTAAAAAAATCGAACAAATAATTTGTGAAAACAGTCACATCAGATCGTTTTCCATACCAACAGTTTGAGGTTAATTCACCAATCACCAAATCTTTCCTGGATGGACAATAGACTTGGACACAACAGAAAATTAAGATTCTTCCAAATGTATGCAGACAAAAATGTGTTTTTCTTTATCTGAACCAACTGTCATCCTTTGTACTGTTTGGTTTGGATGAAATTCAGACAATATTTTCCAATAAAAGTTTAATTCAGACTAAAGAAATTCTGAGTCCCATCCTGCATCTTACAACTGTTGAGCTGATAACCCCCGAAACTGGTAAACTTATGTTGGGTTGCCATATTTAAGGGCACCAAATTAGGGAGATGTTTAGTAAATAGCTCCATTATTTATTATTCTCATGCAAATCTCACATAAGGAGACCAACACTATTAACCCCTTAACGATGGTGGGAGTTCTATGCCGTTCTTGGAGACCCTGTCCTAAACGCCGGCGGGCAGCATATAACGTCCTCGCCTTCCTTAGTACTTACCCGGTCGCCGGCAATCGCGGTAGGGGGACTCACCTGGCATCCCAGGGAATCCCCCTGCTTCCGATCCAGCCCTCCTGGGCATAGCCGTCCACAGCATTGCCAGCCGGGGGACTGCCTGGAATGACAGATAGTCCCCCTGCTGGCTGTAAAATGTAAAATATCAGTTTAAAACAGTTAAAGAATTAAATAACATATACTTAGATCATATATATATATATATACACACACACACACACACACACATTTAAACATACATACACTATCTGTTTTTTTGGTTTGTTTTTTTTAATTCTTTATTTTATTCGTGCATGAATGAACAGTTAGGTCTGTCACGCCACAATAGCAATGTGAGACCGTACATGAACAATCGGTAACATGGCATAACAAATACTGTGCACAATTTTTTGTAAAAGTAAAAGTAACCAACAGGATGAAACTGGATGTGTCAGAGACTATTAATGCATAAAGGTTACTGTAGCTTTGCTGTGTAATTTGACTCTGAGTAGTTAAGTATATTAAGGTAGCATGCTATGACATTGGTTGAGACATGAGTAAGCTAGTGCATGTGGGTCAGTACATTTAGCTTGGCAGTAGTGATGTCAGGTGTTTGCTCTGTATGTGCTTATAGTGGGCTAGTGAAGACCAGATCAGATCTGGGCATGTGAGTTTATATAGCTTGTCAGTTGAGTGGGGTGTCTGAACATACAGCTTGGCCATGGTCCTGGCCATGGTTCTGGCTTGTGAGATTTGCTTACAATGACGACAAGTAGAAAGTTATGCATTTGGTAACAGAGAGTGTCAACTAGTAGCGTGCATTATATATCTGATTCTCTGCACTGTTTATAAATTACGTTTTAACATCAGAATACTCATGTGGTTAGAATAAAACTAAAACTGAATCTACGTAATTATCAAGGCAGTAACAGTAAGCCGGATAGCAGAATATAAGTGATTAGTCTGGGTACAGTCTCGGACCGGTTAAATACTGTCCTCTATGCCCATGGTAATCAGGCTGGGTGAAGATCGTGTAGCAGGGTCCTGGTCGGATCCATAGTGGTGGGTAAGCTTTTCAGGCTGTGTCATCAGGTGTGTCGTGGAATATAGGTAATATAAGACAGAGTCCCGCATTTGTGGGTCACCAAACCCCCACCTTTACCACGATGGTCTCGCTGCTAGTCCAAAGTCCAGTTATTTGACCGGGTCAAGCAAAACAATCCTCCCTGATCTTGCCTCCGGGTGTTCGTGGGGCTCTATTCATTGTGGGTACCGCCTGTACTCTTTGCATATTGCGAGCAGTTGTGTAGGCCATTCAGTCTATGTCCTGTAGGGGGAAACTGCAGGTGTACAAGTGTCTGTCTTGGGGGTTGGTGTGGTTGGCAGGGTGGTCAGAGGTCCCCGTGGTCTTTGTGTGGTAGACCGATCGGGTGTATTGTTTGGTCCCGCTCTGGCGTGCTTGGGGGTGAGTGCTGTCGCTCGTGGGGCATGTCACCTTTTCTCGCTCCCTTGTTAGTTGGCGCCGTCTCCGTCGGGAGGCCGCTCTGGTAGTTCTTGGCAGGAATCCGCACAGATGTCGCCGGATTACCGGGCGAATCCATGCCGCTGCCATTCTCCTCGCTAGCCTGAAGGCCTGACCCCTGTCACAGAGCTTCTTCCAGATGCTTGCGCAGAGCTGGTCGAAGAAGTCCAAGGTATGTTTGGGTGGCTTGATGTGGATGCTTTGCGTTGCCATCTTGCTTGTGCTCTGGCTTTATCCCCCGCTGGTCCAGAAGGGGGGGTAGCAGAGTTGAAGCATGCTTGCTAGCCGGGCGATCGGCCGCCTCCCCCAGGCTTTGGGCTCCGCTCCAATTTAGGCCTCGTGGTCGGTTCTAGCACTTGTGACCTGATTTGGTGCGAGACAGGTATCCGCATGTTCCATGCAGTGTCCTGCATAGTTTTTCCGGGCACCATGTGCTGCTGACATTGTTTGGTTGTCCAAGATTATTGTTTTTGTACCCGCTGGTGCTGGAGCTTTCAGAGAGCACGTCCGGACATCTTGGCAGTCAGGCCCGGCCCACCTAAGTGTATTTTAATATTAATATATATAATTATATATATATATATATATTTATATATATATATATATATATAAAAAATGTAAATATGTAAAAAAAAAGTAAATAAAAATAATAAATAAATAATAAATATATCTGTTATTTCTTTCTAACTGTATTGTGATATTAATATATATCTGTTGATATCACAATACACGTAGAACGAAATATATATATCTATATACATCTATACATATATATCAATAAAAAAAAATTAAAAAATTTATATTATATATATATATATATATATATATATATATAGATATAGATATATATTAATTCTATGTATATATTTATGTAATATTTTTACATATTTGGTCATTTTATTAATTACAATTTGCGTGACCTGCCTGACAACCCAGGCCAAAAGTATAGGGAATTTAATTTGCTAGCACTATATTTAACCCTATAACTTTCCAAGACACCAGAAAACCTTTTTATGGGGGTACTGTTTTACTCTGGAGACAAAAATTAGTGTTTCAAAACAGTAAACTGTATTATAACGATGATATCGTCAGTGAAAGTGAAGCTTTTTGCATTTTTCACACACAAATGGCACTTACACTGATGATATCATTGCTGTAATACTTTTTACTGTTTTGAAACACAAATATTTGTGTTCAGCGAGGTCTCTCGAGTATAACAGTACCTCTCATATACAGGCTTTACGGTGTTTTCAAAAGTTACAGAGTCAATTAATTTTTTTCACATTGAAATCCGCCAGATTGGTTACGTTGCCTTTGAGACCGTATGGTAGCCCAGGAATGAAAATTACCCCCATGATGGCATACCATTTGCAATAGTAGACAGCCCAAGCAAATGGGGTATGTCCCGTCTTTGTTAGTAGCCACTTAGTTACAAACACTGGCCAAAATTGGCGTTCAAATTAAGTTTTTGCATTTTTCACACGCAAACAAATATTAACGCTAACTTTGGCTAGTGTTTGTGACCAAGTGGCACATAACCCATTTGCAATACCTTTGGTTGTCTAATATTACAAATACCATCATGGGGGTAATTCTCATTCCTGGGCTACCATATGGTCTCAAAGGCAACGTAAGAAATCTGGCGAATTTCAACATGAAAAAAACTGAAAAATGTAGCATGCTATATTTGACCCTGTAACTTCCCAAAACACCATAAACCCTGTACATAGGGGGCACTGTTTTACACATGGGACATCGCTGAATACAAATATGTGTATTTTATTGCAGTAAAAGCAAACAGTATTATGACATTCACAGTTAAAATGTCACGTAGAACTAATTTTTGTTTTTTAAATTATTTTCTCCCATTTTTTTTATAATTTATTCATATTAAATTATGTTTCATAGCTAAATATTTTATGTTAAATGAAAGCCCTTGTTCCCCTGAATAAAATGATATATAATAATAAATGATATATAATAAGTGTGGGTGTATTTAATATGAAAGAAGTGAATTCAGTGGCGTTCATCCATGGGGCCCCAGTGCGAAACTGATCTGTGGGCCCCCCCTCCCTCCCTCTTGCCCTACCCCCCGACAGAGACACACACACATACATACATACATACACACACAAAGACACATACAGACAGACAGATACATACATACACACATACAGACAGACACACACACAGGTACAGACAGGCACACAGACACACACAAGACACACATACATACATACAAACAAACAGGCACACATACATACAGACAGACACACACACACAGACATGCTAGCGTTTTATATATATATATGTACATACATACAGACAGACACATACATAAGACACACATACATGCAAAGACACATACACACATACATACAGACACACACACATACAAGACATACATACAAAGACATACACACAAACACACACAAAATATTTTAGTCACCCTCCTGTTTCCTACCTTTTAGGTGCAGGAGGGTGACATTCCCTGGGGTCCAGTGGTGGCTCAGGTTGATGGGAGTCAGAGTTCCAACTCTGACTCCCTCCTCCTTCCTCCCGTGCGGTCTGTGTGTTAGCTGGGAGGAGTGACGTGTGGTCACTTCCTCCCAGCTCTGTGTGATGTAATCACAGGGGGCCCGGTCGCGCTGTTAAAGCGTCCAATGCTGACCAGGCCCCCTTACAATCCATATCCATCGGGTGGCCCTGACAGCATGGGCCACCTGATGGACCCCTTGGACGGCGGCCCCAGTGGTTTGCCGCGTGGGCCGGGGCCGCAAATGGTGATGGCGGGTACCCAGTCACAGGGGTCCACAGGGCAGCCGAGCCCCCTTTGAGTGATGGGCCCGGTCGCAGCTGTAACCCCTGCGACCGTGGTATGTACACCGCTGGGTGAATTACGGTTGGACAGACATATAGCGCAAATGCCAAGTTTTGTTTACGTTTTGTTTTGATCACATTTGTGATTTGTACACATTTGGCTCTGTTCTTAAGGAGCTATCAATTAAGCAACTGAAAATTAAAAAAGTGTATTCCTTAATTTTGGTCTATCAGTTGTTGCTATTAATGAGTAGAATTATATAAAGGAAATGTATATCCTCTCTCATGCTCCAATAAGCCATGCTGCAGGTAGGAGTGCATGTTGTCTACTAAACAAAACAACAAACAGACAGTAGCTGCTCACTCCCATAAAAGAGTTAAATAATCGGGGGCAGGGGGGAGATACCCGGGCATTTTTTTTAATTAAAGTGGCCTGGTGAGGAGCAGTCTTTGATATCTCCACATGCCTGTCATGGCACACACCAAAGCCAGTGCTTCGATAGAGCATGGGCCAGCAGTGAAGATCTTCTCATCTCCCCTGTCCAGGGCCGGAGTGGAGATACAAAGCAGCCCTGGAAAAAAATCTATGCCAGCCCCAGAGCCCGGCATGGGGAAAAAAAGTGAGTAAAAACACTATTTTTAAACACACACAGACACACACATATACCACGACAGATGAAAGACACACACACATACCATGACAGCAACACACCTTGACAGACACACACCATGACACAGACAGACCATGACACAGACACACATCATGACAGACACACAATGACACACACACACATCATGACAGACACACACCATGACACAGACACACACTCACACTGACAGACTGACACATAATATAGCTACCTGTGGGCGACCGGCCCGGAAGTCGTGCAGTGCAGACAGCTGGGTCAGCTGTCTGCCCTGCAAGACTCCTGTCCGATCGCCCACAGGTAGCTATATTACGTGTCAGTCCGTCAGTGTATGCGTGTCTGTGTATGTGTCATGGTGTGTCTGTCTGCCATGGTGTGTCTGGGTATGTGTATGTGTATAACCAAAGCTGGAAGTGCACTCAGCTCCTCACTAGGGAATCCAGGGTGCTCTTGAAAAAGTCCCAGTACCCAAAAGGACCAAGTGCCATGATCATTTTCTACAAAGGTATATGTGTATGTCATGGTATGTGTGTCTGTAAAGGTGGTTTTGTGTCTGTGTCTGTCATGGTGTATGTGTGTTTAAAAAAATAGTGGTGTTTTTACTCATCTTTTTTTCCCCAAGCCGTGCTGTGGGGCTGGCATAGATTTTTTTTCCAGGGCTGCTTTGTATCCCCAATCCGGCCCTGGTTGAGCTAGTATAAACAGGCAGCCACTTTCATATTGTTCAATTTTAACTTGCTTACCTGGATTTAGGAAAAGAGACACTGAGTAGACATTAAAAGGGAAACTATAGTGCCAGGAAACCAAACTAGTTTTCCCCTCGCTCTATAGCTTCCCCCTGTCAAGCGCCCTTACCTCGTGGTGCAAAAAACCCTTCCGTCACTTACCCAGGTCAACGCTTATGTAGCTCGGTGCTGACTCACTATCACCTTCACTCCTCAATGGCCGCATTATGATTTCCCCTTAGGAAGTTATACAAGGTTTTCCTATGGGTTTTGCAAGATGCTGGACATCCCCATGAATAGCCACTAGAAGTGGAGTTAACCCCTGAACAGTAATCATTGCTGTTTGTTAAAGGGACAATGTAGTCACCCGAACAACTTCAGCTTAATGAGGTTGTTCAGGTGAGAACTATAACTCCCTGCAGCCTCTCATGTAAACACTATTTTCTGAAGAATATACAGTGTTCACATTGAAAGCTAGGAACACCTACAGTTGCAGTCACTCAGAGTGAACCAGATGGACTCCTGAGTTGGATGCATAATATGCCTCCATCCACTCAGATCTGCTGTGCACAAGCATCCTGTGATTCAGCATCTCCTTCCTCTGTACACTGAACTTTCCTCAATTCATCTATATGAGGAGATGCTGATTGGCCAAGGATGTGTTTGAATTATGCTGGCTCTGCCCCTGATCTGCCTCCTTGTCAGTCTCAGCCAATCCTATGGGGAAGCACTGGGATTGGATCAGGTTATCACAGGTCAGCAGAATGCTTGTTTTTCCCTGAGTCTAACAGCATGCAGATTTACAGCTTCTGGCTTGAATACAGTAGGATTTTTTACTATATTTAATGAGAGCGAGACAAAAAAAAAAAAAACTCCAAATATCCTTTATTTTATACCTTGTGTAGATTAATTGATGAGCTTCACAGGTTGTCTTTCGTCCTAACTAGCAACTGGGGTTTAGTTCAGTTCCTAAATACACCACTGCATGACGTGACCTCATCAGGTTTAAAAAGCTACTTCCCTTGACATTCCATTGATTGACTCACTCAATTCCCTGGGCAGAATTTACCTGCAAAAACACAACCCCTACTGCATTATACAATAGTCATGGAATGCCAGTTGGCTGACCTCTAGGCTACTAGCCAGGATTGTTATAGTGTGGAGCTACACATACCACTAATGTCCATAGATTTAGGGATGTTACAGTAAGGATAAGGAAAGATACCAAGAATTGAGACTACCACCTGTGGTAAAGTAAACAGATCTACAGACATTGGAACAAGTGATTGTAATTTGTTTTTATTTTAAACCAAGGCAGAACATTGAATTGATGTAGTTTATACAACCAGAGGCATTCTGTAGGGTTTGATTTGTCTGTGCAAGACCGTATTCCATACAGAGGATCAGTCCATCTCATGGTTTGTAGTCTTCCTGGGTGACCATCAAGTTATAGTGACTGATCCCTTTCCACATTCCCTGTATCATGGTTTCATAGCCAAACAAGGTGCGGATCTTGGCACGGAATGGTACATCCATTTCTCCCTTGGTCACAGATGCGACCATACGTATTGAATGCCCACCTGGTACCTCCACATCTGTGCTGGAGGAGAAGGTTGTCTGTAGAAGAAGTCAGATGGTTAGATACTGGCAGGAGCAATATTTCATCATGAATAGTCAAGAACATGTTACCTGTACAGAATACCCATTTATTGCACAGATCAACTGCTTGTACAGACTGGCCAGAAAGGCTTAAGCTCTGTTCTTGTTATATGGGTGGCTTGTTACAGCTGCTCCAATATAACAAAGGATATCTATGGCTGTGAGTCTGTAGATGTGCAAAGGTTAATATATGGTGCTAGTGTGCTACCATAGCATTTAATGTGGGAGTAAAAATAAAATAGGACTGTTTTGGGAGGCAGCCCTTTCTCAATTTACAAACAGTCCCTTTTGTCCAAGATGAGAGTCAAGGAACCCGAGACTTGTATTAGGTATTAGCTAGTGAGATACATGTAGAGCCAGGACACATGCCATGCCTGTTGCTTCCCCTCCAATAACGCAAAAGCATCTTCTAAAACAAACTATACCAAATCTGAACATACATATTGATACCTTGCCACCACCATTATTTAATCCACCCTTACCTGGATTTCATTGGTCTTGGCGAAATTCCAGGTATGAGTTGTGCTCACATTGATGGAAATCTTGGTCTCCATTTCTCCTATGAATGGGACTCCAGCTTTGAAGGACATCTCTGCACCAACAGCCACTGTGAATCCATGTTCCTGGCTGAAAGTGCTGCTCTCAGTTATGGTCTTGGAGAAGCTAGAAAGACAAACCCTTCACATTAATATATTGAGAGAGAAGGAGAATAGCCTGAGACAATCCAGAAAGGATATTAAGCTAGTCACTGGATTTTTGACCACCCTTTCCTAGGGGCACTCCAGATTATATCAGGGTCTCCTTCAAAAAAGGAGAATTGGAAAATTATTATGTCAGGTTTGCCTCCAACTCTTTATAGGTGGTGGGGGGGAGGGGGGGGAAATGCCCTACTGGATACTAAGACATACATACCCTGGGTAATGGGAGGGAGCACAATGTGTGTAGGAAGGAGGATATTGTGATCCTATTCTTGCAGGAACTCGGCCTGCAAGGTTTCATAGGATCCCAACTCTTGCCAGTGTGCACAATATGGAACATTTCTGGGCTGCAACTAGCTCCCAACACAGAATTACAAGGATTTCTGGATATTCCATGTTTGAAGCTAGAAAGGTAGGTAGGAACTGCACTCAGTCCCCAAGCAGCCACAACTATGCCCCTACAGCAAAGCTAGTAGAAAAATAAATAATCCCTCCCCCCGATGTTAGAGCCACAGGATGGTTTATCGAAACAAAGGACAAACGTGCCAACCCAACAAGAGGTTTTTGTCAAGAACTGGGATGTGACCCACAAAAATAAAAAATAAAAAATAAAGATAATCCAATGAACATTGTGCATGGTAGGACACCATGAATAGTCAGGTCAAACAGGAGGACAAAGATGTAGTCTGAGACCAGACACCTGGACAGTTTTCCTGGAGGTATTCTAATATTTGCCATTACAGGTCAATTCCTTCCTTGATAACTAGACAGTTCCATCCAGAAGTGAAGTGTGAGGGGAAGCCTGTGCAAAAGACATGCTCACCTCAGACAAGCATTAGCAACCAGTAGCTTCTAGCAACTACAAGTTCCCAGACTGACAGTTGCGGTTTGCTGGTAAAGCACAGAAACACCTGAGAATGCAACTTCACCCTGTGTCAGGGACTGGAACAAGACTTGTTCAATAGGAAGGGTTAATGCCCCTTCTGCCTGACTAGGGGCAGCCAGCAATGAGTAATAGGATAACAAACCAGTCACCAAGTGGAGTCTAGTAGCCATTAGTGACTGGCTTTCTGTAGCAGAAGCTGGCAACTATTTTAAGACTGGAAAAGAGACATTTTCTGAATAGAATCAGAACTGCACTCAATCCCATAACTCTGGGCCAGCACTAGGTCCCAGATACCATATGCAAATACATAGGTTTAGGCACTCCATGGTCCAAAAATAAAGGGAAAGTTTGATTAAACCAGATCAGCAGCAATATTCCAACCTTTAAGGTCTTCCTCAAACTAGCAAATAAGGGATACACCACAATCACAAAGTGAGTGCAATTAAAAAGCATCACAAGTGAAGCTCACTCATTAAGAAGGACTGGCAGCAGTGTTGAAGACTATGACCAATGTAAGAGCAGTATATCCAGAACACACAATTGTCCAACTGAACAACCTCAGAGCACATCTAATGGCAATTATATTCCCAAATCTATCCTGCAAACTTCCCATTCAGAGAAAGACATTAAAGGTCAAACTGTTGCCGCTTGTCATCTAGTTTGATTAATCTTGCCTTTCTTGGACCACCTAAACCTTTGTTTTGCATAGAAGAGTCACAAGCACCAACACAGGCATTATAACAAAGCACTATCTGCCAATAAGTAGCCCTAGGACTGTAAACAAGGCTTTCCTCAACCTTGGTAAAACAGACACCATGCTCTATTCAGCCATTATAGAATCATGTAACTTATGAAGGATTTTAATGTAGAGAGACCACCAACCTTTTAGTATTCAAAGTATTGTATATAGTGCACCATCCGGTACTCTATGTAATCTTGCCAATAGGTAGAAGTACCTGCAGAGCTAAAGTCCTATTCCATTAGTCAGGCCTACAAGTGAGTGACTACTGCAAGCCTGAAGGATCCATGGAACACTGAGGGTGAATTTCTGCTTGCCACAGCTGAAGTGGTCACTCGCCAGTGGCAAGTTGAAATTGGGATCCCTGAGTGGATGAGATTGAGGTTTCCATTACTTACGAGAAGGTGTGCTTTAATGGAGTGCTGCTCTTGTTGTTATAGATCTGGGTCTGCACCACCTCTGTGCCTTGGGATAGGATTTTCCCTGAATCTGGCAGGAATTCAAAGCTCACAATACTCTGGATGGTTTTATCAATGGTGAAGGAAAGGAGGGGGTAGACATTGTAACCCCAGCCCAGTTTCTCTGCCTTTTCAATGTAGTTGGTATCAGCCTTGGTCGGTGCTGGTCCTTTATAGATGTTGCCATTCTTTGAATCCACACACCACAGGTCTGACTCTAGGGTGAAAGCCATGAAATGGGTCAGAATGCGCCAGCCTCCTTTTCCAATGGTTGTGCTGGAGGCAAGCCAGTTATCGTCTGGTTTGGTTGGAGGGCTTCTCATCACAAGCTTGTCGTCACTGGTCACTGCATACAGGATGCCTTTAGGGTCAAAGAAAAGGGCATCAAATTCATGCCAGCCGTCGGTTCCTATTTTGGTGGCTTGGCCATAAAGCCAGGACACGTTTTCATTGCTTGGTGCTGGACCCTTGTAGAACTCCCCATTCTTGGTAGATGCATACAGAAGGCCATTTGGATCAAAGAAGATGAATTTAAACCCTTCCCAGTCAGTTTTGCCCACTCTCTTGGCAGTAGAGAAAAAGTCCAGGTTTGGATCTGAAGGCATAGCTCCCATGAAGAGTTCTTTACCACGCACAGCAAACAGCACCCCTTCTGGGTTAAAGGCAATCTTACTGACATTATTCAGCTTCCCTACAATGCTAGATCTGGCATCAAAGCTATCCAGAAGATTCTTGGGTGGTAATCCAGCTCTGGCAACATAATCCTTCACAGCAAACAGGAGGGTATCTGGAAGTCAATAGGAAGAGGTTATAGCCACTATTGGTAGTCCACAACTCAATATGAAAGTACAACTGCAAGGGATTTAAGTCATAAGCCTAGATATTGAAGGTTTAAATTGGATTTAAGACGGTTCAATAAGACCCCAGCAGCACAGGAAACAACCCTTCCAGAACCCAGAGCTCCAGACAGGAGCCATTTCTTTTAGTCTACATTACAGGGTTCTTTTTATCTGCAAAGATTTCAAATAGACCAAGAAGGACACAGTTTTAGAGATGTCAGTGTAGCCAGGAGCTGGCCTGTTGCGAGATGTTTTAGGAGACTTCCTAACAATTTATGCAGTGTAGGGACATTTGGGAGGTATGCAATATTAAGGTTCTGTCCCACTGTCCTGGGTTTTTAATGTGCTACCCTACCAGCAGCATTATGCACAATTTTAAATGTATATAGCCAAACAGGAAAGTGTGTCACCAGGTCAGCTGAGGTTAAATATTGAATTAGACATTTTTAATCCAGAGAGTTTAAAGGAACACTAGTGTAAGAAATAGAAACATGGATTACTGATTCTAATGCTAGCATGGCTCACTCTAACAAGGTGATTTTACTCACCTTTTCTCCCATACCAGTATGTGGATGTGATCAGTTTTGATGATCTCAACCCATCCAATGACCCCCATAGGAAATCATTTAGGAGGAGGTTAGTGTGTATGCGTTGCAAAGAAACCAAGGAAGATTAACTAAATGTCAAGTTTACATAGAGAGTTCTATATATAATTTGAAGCACCAACAAGAATTCAGCGTTTCCACTTTGTCAATACCAACATTAAGGCCATTTAAACTGTATGTAGCACTCCTTGTGCACATTTGGCAGCACAGTTTTCTATACTTGGATTTGGCCCTAATTTGAGAAACAGGGTGCAAGGTTAGCAGCACAGGTTAGGTTTTAAATCCAGGCGTTTGGGTACTAGAGTAACACCTCTATCACCATGCAGAGTGTTGAGACTGAAGGTAGACACAGAAAGCACCTCTAGTGGCCATTTGAATGTCTGCACCTAGAGGTGGTACTAAAGTAAAAGAGAAATACATTGTATTTACATTACAAAGCCTGTAGGTTTCATCACCAGAACCACTTCCTTAAGTGGTAGTGATTCTGGTGACTATAGTGTCCCTTTTAAGATCACAGATGAGTTCTGTCAAACAGTAACAGTCAGTGAGGAACTTCTAAGACCATCACAGAATTAATCAGCTATAAAGTGAGATACTCCTGACTAATGCTCAGTATATACAACCCTGCAGAATGAGCTTCCAAAACACAAGGATCACTTACCTGGTGTATCCATTATCAGAGAAAGATCAGAAAACAAGCTTCTAGACTCTCAGCAGGGAACCTTTTGGGGTCTCTGGCTTGTGTGGATCAGGAAAGGGCTCCAGGTATATCTGTATCATTAGTGATTAGCTTTATAGTCAGGACCCCTCCCCACACACAGCTGTACCTGGTTTAATGAGCAGGGTTATCAGACTTTGAACAATGTGATACTGAGTTAACAGGTAGGTCACTACAATATTGAATTTTATATGGCTCTGGAAACAATGGGGGAGATGTATAAAAAGTTGTGCATTATTTATTTTCTTGACAAATTTGTGGCTCATTTGCCATTTTGGGGCATTAAAGACAAGATTGACAATAATCTCCACGATGTATAAAGTTGGAGTAACAGTTTTATACATGAGAAAATGGAACATTCACACAAAACAGGCAGAAAAGTTCATCAATATGACAATGTTTCTTCATCTGAACCAACTGTCGTCCTTTGTACTGTTTGGTTTGGATGAAATTCAGACAATATTTTCCAATAAGAGTTTAATTCAGACTAAAGAAATTCTGAGTCCCGTCCTGCATCTTACAACTGTTGAGTTGATAACCCCCTAAACTGGTAAACTTATGTTGGGTTGCCATATTTGAGGGCACCAAATTAGGGAGATGTTTAGTAAATAGCTCCATTATTTATTATTCTTATGCAAATCTCACATAAGGAGACCAACACTATTAACCCCTTAACGATGGTGGGGGTTCTATGCCGTTCTTGGAGACCCTGTCCTAAACGCCCGCGGGCAGCATATAACGTCCTCGCCTTCCTTAATACTTACCCGGTCGCCGGCAATCGCGATAGGGGGACTCACCTGGCATCCCAGGGAATCCCCCTGCTTCCGATCCAGCCCTCCTGGGCATAGCTGTCCACAGCATTGCCAGCCGGGTGACTGCCTGGAATGACAGGTAGTCCCCCTGCTGGCTGTAAAATGTAAAATATAAGTTTAAAACAGTTAAAGAATTAAATAACATATACTTAGATCATGTGTGTATATACACACACACACACATTTAAACATACATACACTATATAAGGTTTTTTTTTTTTTTTAATTCTTTATTTTATTCGTGCATGAATGAACAGTTAGGTCTGTCACGCCACAATAGCAATGTGAGACCGTACATGAACAATCGGTAACATGGCATAAGAAATACTGTGCACAATTTTTTGTAAAAGTAAAAGTAACCAACAGGTTGAAACTGGATGTGTCAGTGACTATTAATGCATAAAGGTTACTGTAGCTTTGCTGTGTAATTTGACTCTGAGTAGTTAAGTATATTAAGGTAGCATGCTATGACATTGGTAGAGACATGAGTAAGCTAGTGCATGTGGGTCGGTACATTTAGCTTGGCAGTAGTGATGTCAGGTGTTTGCTCTGTATGTGCTTATAGTGGGCTAGTGAAGACCAGATCAGATCTGGGCATGTGAGTTTATGTAGCTTGTCAGTTGAGTGGGGTGTCTGAACATACAGCTTGGCCATGGTCCTGGCCATGGTTCTGGCTTGTGAGATTTGCTTACAAATACGACAAGTAGAAAGTTATGCGTTTGGTAACAGGGAGTGTCAACTAGTAGCGCGCATTATATATCTGATTCTCTGCACTGTTTATAAATTACGTTTTAACATCAGAATACTCGTGTGGTTAGAATAAAACTAAAACTGAATCTACGTAATTATCAAGGCAGTAACAGTAAGCCGGATAGCAGAATATAAGTGATTAGTCTGGGTACAGTCTCGGACCGGTTGAATACTGTCCTCAGCCTATGCCCGTGGTAATCAGGCTGGGTGAAGATCGTGTAGCAGGGTCCTGGTCGGATCCATAGTGGTGGGTAAGCTTTTCAGGCTGTGTCATCAGGTGTGTCATGGAATATAGGTAATATAAGACAGAGTCCCGCATTTGTGGGTCACCCAGCCCCCACCCTCACCACAATGGTCTCGCTGCTAGTCCAAAGTCCAGTTATTTGATCTTGCCTCCGGGTGTTCGTGGGGCTCTATTCATTGTGGGTACCACCTGTACTCTTTGCATATTGCGAGCAGTTGTGTAGGCCATTCAGCCTATGTCCTGTAGGGGGAAGCTGCAGGTGTATGAGAGTGTCTGTCTTGGGGGTTGGTGTGGTTGGCAGGGTGGTCAGAGGTCCCCGTGGTCTTTGTGTGGTACACCGATCGGGTGTATTGTTTGGTCATGCTCCGGCATGCTTGGGGGTGACTGCTGTCGCTCGTGAGGCATGTCACCTTTTCTCGCTCCCTTGTTAGTTGGCGCCGTCTCCGTCGGGAGGCTGCTCTGGTAGTTCTTGGCGGGAATCCGCACAGGTGTCGCTGGATTACCAGGCGAATCCATGCCGCTGACATTCTCCTCACTAGCCTGAAGGCCTGACCCCTGTCACGGAGCTTCTTCCAGATGCTTGCGCAGAGTTGGTCAAAGAAGTCCAAGGTATGTTTGGGTGGCTTGATGTGGATGCTTTGCGTCACCATCTTGCTTGTGCTCTGGCTAAGTCGTCTCTCCGTAGTGTTTGTCGCTTGTTCTCGTTGCTTTGCTGGGGTGGTCACCCCCAGTGTGGACCGGAATATCCCCCGCCAGTCCAGAGGGGGGGAGGTAGCTGGGCAGCGGTTGAAGCATGCTTGCTAGCGGTTCCCGTGCCGGGTGATCGGCCGCCTCCCTCCAATTTAGGCCTCGTGGTCGGTTCTAGCACTTGTGTCCTGATTTGGTGCGAGACAGGTACCTGCATGTTCTGTGCAGTGTCCTGCATCGTTTTCTGGGCACCATGTGCTGCTGACATTGTTTGGTTGTCCAAGATTATTGTTTTTGTACCCGCTGGTGCCAGAGCTTTCAGAGAGCACGTCTGGCCATCTTGGCAGTCAGGCCCCATACCCCCCCATTCCCCCTCCATCTAAGTGTATTTAAATATATATTTATATATATTTGTGTTCGGGGCATTCTAATCGGATATGAAATACGCTGGTGAAGAGGAATAAAGTAAAAGGAAATAGTCGGTTGAGGTGTGCCGAAACTGATGTATGCTGTAGGCCGGAAAATAGAGTGGGCTTACATAGAGGAAAGTATAGCTAATGGGAGTGGAGGGTGGACCTGTTCGTCTAGACCAACGAAGGTAAATAAGGGAAGGGGGCAGTCCCTTTAGTAGGTCATTAGCCCTTCCCACAACTTCAGGCCATGCCTTCCAATTTGTGTTCGGGGCATTCTCATCGGATATGAAATACTCTGGTGAAGAGGAATAAAGTAAAGGAAATAGTCGGTTGAGGTGTGCCAAAATCGATGTATGCTGTAGGCCGGTAAATAAAGTGGGCAAAAAGAGATAAATCAAAGAAAACATTTATTCAGAAAACATAGTACATTATTACATATTAAATAGACATCTTAATGAAAGCCCTCCTAATCTCTTGGACTGGGTGTGGGATGTAAGTGGCGTAAGCCGAGGACTTCCAGCGACCCAGTGTCATAATTACGTGTGCTGGAATGTCTTGGCTAGATGTCGTGGAGGCCGCTCCGATTCTGAAGGAGTCCCCTGAGTAGTTGCTAGGGTTAAGACCAAGTCTGATGATAAGCATACGGACATAAAGCATGAATTTTGCCGTGGTAAGAATTGCATCGTGTAGTATTAGTAGTGGTTTTGTGGTGCGTGTTGGTGTTGTAGCTAAGAAAGTGTCCAGTACTTTCACCGGACACCAATTGTTCCCTGTGGGGTAGTAGGTTTTGTGAACCGGTTCTCCCATATGACTTGTTTTGGTCTTAGGTAGGTTCAGGATGTAGTAGTCTCTGTGTTTCATGAGGTAAGAGGTGAGGAGGCACCCTTGGCTATGGTGCTGGCCACTAATGGTGAATTCTCTTTGTGACAGAACCATCTGTCTGCTTATTGTGGTGGATTTGTCTATTTCTGCCCCGTTTGTGTAAATGGCTGTTTCTATAGCCCAGCCATATGAATGACTGTTTTCACCGAACAAATCTACCGAACGGAGGGCCACCCAGGATAGAAGTGTGCTGCTGGTTAACCGCAGACACTTCTCAATTAAACCGAATTCAGGGTGGCCGTCGTTCGTATGTCGACCACGAGGCAACGGCCATTTTAAAACACACGAAAGCCCAGCGGTGTTTGGCACCGATTTCATGGAACTAAAAACAGACACTTTTTCTGCCGAACGCTGCTGAAACAACGGGTCGCCTGGCTGCCTTGACGAAAGCGTATAAACACCGGCCGTTCAGGAGTTTTGCAACACACGAAAGGACTTAACCCAGATAGCCCTACCATGGAGTCAATCGCATACCGAAAGACTGTAAGGATTTTGACTCCATGACGATTGAACTATGTGTGTGGAATATGAGCGCTATTCGCCAATAATATGCACTCAGATCCAGGCTATCTGGGGATATGTGATACGAATGGGAAATGTTCGGTTATTATAAAGTTATGTATTTTTATGTATTTTCTGGTATTGTATTTAAGATGGCGATTTGTCTTTGTCCTGGAGATAATTGAATTACTTCTCAATTATCTCCAGGGCAGAGGGGAGGAAACCATATTGCATTGTGGGAAAAGCTTGTGACTGTATGTCTGAAATGTCCCCATGCCTGTCTGTAATTCCAGTCTCCCATTTGGTCCCCTAGGGGGAGTGTCCACCAAGTGGGAGACCTGCATAAATACGGGCAGGTAGCCCACAGTAAAGCCAGATCCTGTTTGACCCTCAATGCGGAGCTTCTGTCTCGTTATTGGGGGGATTTCTTATTTGCGCTTAGAGACTGCTTACTGGAACCGAAAGCCGCTTGGTGGATATCGTTGTTCGGCGGCAAGCAGCAGTTCGTGGATTTCCGTTCGGGAGTTTGGAGCCTTTCACGGATCCCGGTCAGGAGATTATCGCTTCCCCTGATGTTGGTTTGTATACCGCAGTTTATGCGAACGGAGTTATTGGTATTGCGAAAGGGGAAGGCTAACTAAACGGCGGTTTGTCTTAAAGACACCAG